GCAGGCACACATGGTGCAGGCACACACGGTGCAGGCACACACGGTGCTGAGGCATCCATGCAGGCAAACCCCCCACACGCATAAAATGAGGAGACACGAGATGCAGATGTGTATGAAAACTCTGACAGGGAAGACCATCATCGACAAATTCCAACCCAATGGAATATTAAGACCAAGGTCCAACCATGGCGCCTAACCTGACCACCAGCACTTAATACACAGCCAACAGCAGCGGAGCATAACCACACGCTCTTGGACTACATGATCTAGAAACAGTCCAGCCCGCACCTACAGCTCCCCCAGAACACAACTATGATGAGATCATTGGCCCGCAGTGCTATGCTCACCTGCACTTACCAGTTGTATGCTGTAGCCATGACAACAACCTCTAACCCAAGGCCATGCAAAGCCAAGAGCAGCTGCCAGGCTTAACAGTGTAACCAAGTCCCACTTACACTGACTGGGAGAAAAACATAAATAGAGACTGCAGCCCTCCCGAGTCACACGTGCAGGTGGGCGAGACTCCTGGGCCATTCTGCCTCTTAAAAGTCTGAGACCTCTTGTATTCCACCCTCCTGGTGGGAGATTACGAATCTCCTAGCTTTAATGGCATATTTGAAAGGAGTACGAAGGGTATGACAAGACTGAAGGCAGAAAGACTCCCTGCTCCAGCATTCAATCAGGAGGTACTTGCTTGATGACATCATTAAATTGGCACAAAGATAACTCATTTAGGGATTGGGGTGTCTCCTCTCACCACATAGACTCCAGGGACTACTGATTGACAATACATTTATACACACACACACACACACACAGCATTTAAGAATGAACTTCTGTGAGTAGAAATTTTTTTTTCCTCCCAAAATAGCCTTTCAAAAATGTTAATGCCATCTCAAAAGTGCTATGAAATTCAGTCCTTTTTGGTGGGGCTGGTTTATGACATCTGCAGAGACCATAGACCGGTAACAATGGTAGCTGGTAACAATGACTTTCTCACTGTGTGCCACATCCCAAGAGTATTATACAATTTTTTTTCTCCAGTGGGGGCGTCTCTGCATTGCAGCGATTAGCCTTGAACTGTTGAGTGGGTTCAAGGTATCCTCCTGTCTCGGTCTCCCAAGGAGCTGGTGTTCCAGGCAGGCACCACTGTGTGACCTACTGAGATCAACCAACTTGCTTTAGGTCACAACCTGCTAGGAGGCAGGTGTACCTGGAGTTCAGTCAGTGGCAGTAGTTACTCTCCAGGTTACCACACTCCAGAAGGAAGCCTATCTGCTCTATACCTCTGGTTCTCCATCAGCCTTTGGATTTCTCTCTCATTTTTCAGCCGGATAAACAGAAAGCAGCACTTTGAACATGTCCTTCCAGCACCCATGTGACCATCTTCCTATCCAGTGAGTTTTGGAATACTTATTTAACTGCTTTCCTAAACCCAGGTATTCTCAGGGATTTTTGTTTGTTGTTTGTTTGTTTGTTTCATCTGTCATAATTTTCTTTTTCATTTCTCCTGTTCAATTTTTAAAATGCGTTTGGGTGCCTTACCTGCATGTAATGTATATATACCATATGAGTGTCTGGTGTCTAAAGCAGCCAGAAGGTGGCATCAGAACCCCTAGAACTTGAGTCATGTGGTTGTGCCCTGCCATGGGTGCTGGGAATTGAACCTGGGTGGTATCGATGGGCAGCCAATACTCTTAACCGGAAGACATCTCTCCAGGCCACCGTTTATTCTTGATGGTCTTCCTTTCCGGTGAGAGTAACTCCCTGTGCAACCGCTCTCTTCTCCCTTTACAACAGCATCCCTCCCTGGACAGAATGGCTGTATTATTCTTTAGTCTTTAGAGTATGTTTTACGCTTAGATTTCCCATGTGGCTTTTAGACTCACAAAGATCTTGACATTGTTACTATATTATTTCCGAGCATGTAGAGTCCCTCGGGCCTAGATGAACATCAGAATTGCCCAGGAAGCTTCAAAGAAGAGCAGCAAAGAAAAGTTCAAACACCCTGGCCAGACCCCAAACTCAGCAGGATTTTCTTTTAAATCTCTCCTGCCAAGGACGGGTTGTAATTGCCAATTGTAATTCACACCTTTCTTTGCGCGTTTTGCATTATTTCGATGTATTTTTAAAGTTTGGAAGCTGGAGGGGTGTTCCACACAGGACCACATTCCAATTCCGATACAGAAAAGGAGATGGATGGATGGATGGATGGATGGGAAAAAAGCAGGTGACACACCTTGCCAGATGACAAGCCCTATCCCAAATAATGCTTAAAGGCAAGAGATGAGGGTGGTAGGGGGGAAGAAGGGAGTGTTCACTTGCCTCAACCCAAACTATCCTCTCGACAGGAGTTTATGAAATGGTGTTGCAGGACCCTTCAGACCCTGTGGACCTTCAGACCCGAGTCGAGGGAAGTCCCAGAATTCCAATTTTTTCACCCTTTCTCCTGGTGAATTCGGAGACGGACAGAGCACCCAGCCCAAGACCCTTCAACTGAACCTGGGAAGCCAGACCCAGGTCGTAGCTCCCGCGATGCCGGCACTGCGGTCCACCCCAGCGTGGACACGGCTTCGCGCTCGAGTCCTGCGCCCCGGAGACCGTGGGGCAGTCCCGGGGAGGCCCACGCACGGTCCCCGCTGCCCTGAGCCCGTGCGGCCGCTCACCTGGCTCCGCCCGGCGGCCGGGGGCCAGCAGCGTGGCGCTCAGCACCGAGCCGGCCAGCAGCAGCGCTGCCAGCGCCGGGCCCGCGCCCATGCCGCCCGCTGCCTCTGCCGGGGAACTGCGCTCTGTCCCCGCCACCAAGCTGCGTTCCTCCGCCCGGCGCCTGCGCGATCTCGACCCGCCCGTCATCGCCCGCTCCGGTGGCGTCACGGCTCCGGTCCCGCAGGGGAGGGCGGGGGGAGGGCGGGGAGGGCGAGGCGAGGGCGGGGAGGGCGGGGCCGCCCCTTCCTAGGCCTGCCCCGTGGAAGCTTCCTAAGCCCCGCCCAGCTGGGAAAGTGTGTGTCCTGCTAGTGTCCACCACAGAGGGCAGCAGTGCTGGTTTTTTTTAACCCTTTGCACAGTGTTTCTGTCCCATCGGGAGAAACACCGCAAAAGAGTGGTCTTTGCTTCCCCAGTCATCGTCTCCTCCCTCACCATTACCTGAACGTTCTAAATTCTTGCATCCTAGCCTTTCAACGTACAGACAGGTGTTACTCACCTTCTAGGAGAGCCCTTAGTAGTAAATATGACTGTAGAGCTTCCCTTTACACGCACAAACTCTGGGCGTCCAATACCTAGAGTAGATGATACACTCCCTTAAAGATCTCCTGTTTCTGGCCTTGAACAGGATGCTGCCAGTCTATGGAGGTTAAAGGTGTCCGGTGATGAGGACTGTATAATCACACTGCTGTCTGTATTCTGGGAGAAACCACCAACATGTGAAAGAGGGCAGGCATGATATTTGTAATAAAACTGTAATTGCAAAATCGTGTGGGCAATCTGAAGGGCCGTCAGTGAGACAACATCATGCCATGCAGCAGTGGAAGTGAACAGACCTTCCCATTTCCGCATGTGAGAGTCTTACATAAGACCACGAAGGGAAACAGATTGCACTTAGCTTTGTAATAATGTTTATTTACTTTCTTAGCTGGATTCATCGACAAATTCAATGATTCAAAGAAACATACATGCAAACTCATTAAAAGAATCACATTCTTGTGTTACTAAACACAACAGTGGTCAAAATTATGAACTATAGAATGGATCCCAAGATTTAATGGAAAAAAGTTAAAAACAAAACAAAAACACCCTGTACTGAAAGGTTTCAGGCTCCAGTGTCATTGAATCCAGTACTGAACATGTTACTTAATATTCCTTTGTAATAGGCCCCCAGACTTTACCCACAGAAACTAAAATAAAGGCCTAATCCATCAAAGTCCATAGTTCTGGAAAAGTCTCTAAGGGTAATCACCTTGTTTTTGGCTTCGGGCTAACTGTTATTGTTAACTGAAGCATAGCAACCCAGGATAGAGTTTTGTGCTTAAGAGTTCACTGGCCAGCTAATAAGGACTTCCTACTGGCTTAAACCCATGTCTGAGTAGTCTTCTCTGGTAGCTATAACTCCACAATATATGTTAGAGATATGTTCTGGGTCACAAAGAAAGAGACCGTCTCTGCACCCAAAGTGTCTGGGGAAGGCAAACTACTTTACTATTGATCAAGAGTGTCCTCTGTGTATGAGACTCAAACACAGCAAGATGGGAAAGAATCTGTTTTTTATTGTAACTCAGGGAGTGGCTGGAGCCACAATCTTATCCAGTTAGCAAGTCTGAAAAGAACTGGCCCACAGGAAATGGAGGAAGAAGAAAGGTGTCCCTGTACTAAGGAAAAGAGAGTCTCTACTCAGGCCATTAAATTCCTAAAATAAGTGCAGTGGGCCTTTACGTAAACAAAGGGTTTACTGGGTATGGAGGATTAAAACATCTTCAAAAAAGTCTCATAAGTCAGGGGTGAGTAACATCTTTTAATTCCTTGTTCTAAACATGTTTTATATTGATAGAAAAGATTCATATTTGCTATTTCTTACAAATGGAAAGATAAATACTATATTCAAGCAATGTTTAGGAGGGAGAGGAGGGCAGAAGGTCAAGCCAGTGTCCTGGTGGGCTCCACCTGGCAGCGTCGTTGCTTAGGTAGTAAAGAGGTATATGGGTACACCTTGCATCATTTTTACATTCTTTATTTGAACTCCGTGATAATTCTCGAGTTCCAATACAAAGACGGTGTGATTGGTGCAATGCAGGAAGAACAAGGGGCCAAGGCAGCATTTGACAGACGCCGAGCAAGCTGGGAAGTCTTTCCAAGACACTGGCATTCACAGGGACTCCTTGGGGACATTAACTAGAAGAAGGGGGAAGATTGTAATTGATCCAAAACTTAAATCCGAATGTCTGTGTCTCATGCTAAGAGGCAAGGATTTGATGGGTCCAACACTCTAGGCTGCTCCAGCTCACTGGTGAGTTAGCTATGAGTGTCTCTGTACTGCCTCTGGTGTTACAGCCTCAGACACAAGAAAAGCTGCTGCTCTCAAGTGGATTCTTCTCTTGCTCACTGTGCAAAGCAGCCACCCCAGAGTTGGAGCTGTCTCCCAGCCAAAGAAACAAGAAGCAGCTGAGCCTTTCAAGAGTGACCAAAGGAAAAAAGAATAGAGAAGATAAGACAGCACAGAGAGTTGGTTTTAAAAAGATAAAAAGCTTTATAGAACCAGAGAAGATAATCTGCAGGCCCTGAACGCCAGTGAAGTCCAAGAAAGCACTGAGGTTTTCGGGGCCAAGAGTTCCAGTCCCCAGGCTGGGGGCTCTCACAGCGGCCTCTGTATGGGATTGCTGATAGGGTTAAGAGTGCTGCACCTGAGGCTTGTAACACAGGCGGAGGCGGAAGAGCCTATGGCTGCTTCCTGCTGCTCCTCGATGCAGCCAAACGCTGGGGAAAATTAGAAGTGAGGTGCTAGCTAGCATCCCTTGCCGAGCTCCCCTTGTGTAGCCACAAGCTCTCCACAGACAGAGACGAGCTCTCAGCCTCTAGAGACAAAGGAAGCGAAGGGAGGTGAGTTGCACGGCAGAGATCAGGAGGCAGTCCCCAGTGAGGGACCATAGGAAGGCTCACAAGTGCGGCCAGAGGATCACTGCATATCCACACTCACACGCAGGCAAGCACTCAAACATCCAAAAAAAAAAAAAAAAAAGTAAAATATTAGAAAGAAAAAAAAGAAATAGCTAAGGAACCTTTACAAATCCACGGAACGTGTGATTACTATCTTAATATCGTAGAAATGGTTACATGTCTTCAGTAAAACTTACGTAGAAAAAATAGATACCACAGGAAAATCAAAACTGATCTTAGAGAACTTGTAATTGTGTTAAAGACACGGAATTAGGGTTTCATTGCTGTGGAGAGACCCCGTGACCGCAGCAATTCTTATATATAAAGGAAACCGTTTAATTGGAGCTGGCTTACCGTTCAGCGGGTTAGTCCATTCTTGACATGGTGGGAAGCATGGCGGCATGCAGGTAGACATGGTGTTTAAGAGGGAGCTGAGAGTTCTACATTTTTGATCTGCAGGCAGCAGGGAGAGACTGTGTGTCACCCTGGGCATAGCTTGAGCATAGGAGACCTGAAGGCCTGCTCCCACAGGGACATACTTCCTCCAACAAGGCCACGCCCACTCCAACAAGGCCACACCTCCTAATAGTAGCACTTCCTTTGGACCAAGCATCCAAACACATGAGTCTATGGGGCCTTTCCTAGTCAACCCCCTCACTTTTGCCTTGTTCTATGGAAATAAAGAGTGACTCTAGGTTTCCATCTTTGTAATGTTTCTCCTATTCTTGTAGTCTGCATTTAAAAACAAAATCACATTGCATATTTTTAAAAGGTTCTAAATATGTGTTAGTGAATTAAACGAATAAAGAAAATGGATGTGCTTAATGGTTTTAACATGGAAATGCAATGTAATAAATGTAACCTAGCCTTCAACCCGAACCTCTTGTGCCTTAACTCGTAATGAAAAAAGGCTAAATGTAAGGTTTTTGAGAGCTTAATAACACACTGGAATGTTCTCTTTCAGACTCTCTCTCCACAGTCCTTATTTCATGTTTCAGACATAATAACAAATATAATGAAAATTATGTGGCAATGAAAAAAAAAACCTGATGTGGGTCTTTGGATGAAAAGATGAACAGGAGGAAACTGACAAATGTCATAAATAATGACCATGGCAATGTGTATCTCCTGGGACACAAGATACCAGAAGGTACACTTGGGGTCTCAAATCTCAGCGGGACCAGTTGGGATGCAGATGGGTTGGGTCTGTCAGGCCCACCAGTTCATCACAAGATCTCTGAAGCGATCTTGATGCCCAAGAAAGGTCTGGGCATCATCAAGACATCCATAACGGTCTTAAGGGGCTGAAGCTTGTCTCTGACATCAACCCATAAAAGGCAGAACTATCGTGAGGTGTCCGTGGAGTTCTGTGGCAAAGAGTCTCAGAAGAGCAGCTGTAGAACCCCAAATTCCAAATCACTGTGGTAGACCACACAGGGCTCTATGGAGCTCTTAAGACATCACTCATGGGGGCTGGAGCGATGGCTCGGCGGTCAAGAGCACTGGTCGCTCTTCCATGAAGATACAGGTTTGAAACCCAGGGCCCACATGGAGCTCACAACTCTCTGTAACCCCAGTTCTAGGGGCTCCAACACCCTCCTCTTGGCCTCCACAATACTGCACACAAGCGACACACAGACATACATGCAGGCAAAACACTCTCATACATAAAATAAATAACAAAAAAAAGAACTCCTGTATTAGGAGGTGAGAATACTTCCTGCTCTTTGGATCCAGGTTTGGTTCCCAGCACCCACATCAGATGGCTCACAAGCACCTAAAACTCTAGTTTCGGGGAATCCTATACGACTGTGATTTTTTTCTTCTCCCTTCTATAATTGAAATAATTCTAAAATAGATATTTTTGGTAGGGATTTTTAAAAAACATGCCAAGACTTCTGGAGCATTTCCACGCCTTCACAGAAGCACGCGAAGGCACAGCAGACCACACAATTCAGCAGTTATACCAACACCATTAGTCACGTTTCACTTCTGGTGTTTTTTTTTTTTTTCCTTCAAAATTTTGCCAAGCACAGGTTTTTGTTAAGAGGAAGAGAGGGCCATATGGGAACGTGGCGTCTACGGAGTAGGACAAGAAACTAGGATTCAGTATTTTACATTCTCTTTTGCATTTAAGGTCCTCTCTGGATTTTGAACTTCAGGATCGTTCCATTGTAAATGTCTCTGAGGTTGGCTACAATCCCTGTTGAACAAACGCACAGCTGTGCATGATGGGAATGATGGGGGAAAGGTGCACTCCACGAGCTTGTGCCAGAGACGTGAATTACTGAGGTATCTTTGTAACCACTCATTGACTCTTGTTTCTTGTGCCAATAGGAACAGCACGTGGAGTCAGGAATGGAAAAGCTGCACTCTGGGTTTGCCGCTATCCTTCCCATTAAATACAGTTTGGGAGAAATCCCTGTCCAGAAACTCACCCCAAGGATACTGCTGTACCAGCTTCTGCATTTTAACTTTGAGATGCAGCCCACCGCTGGCCTAAGGAGGGCGCTGTAGTAGGTACCAATGTCCAAATGGTATGTGTTCCTCGGAGGGTTCTGATTGGCTGCCTTGCATTTGCTTACAGACTGCAAGAGGATGTACCAAGGCTTGACTTAAGAAACAACCCAAAACGTGAAGACAGCAGTCACTATCAAAGGACGAATCCCACACAATTGGCTTCATCAAGGGAAAGGACCAGACACTCAGCCGTGTAGTCTATCTTTGAAGGTTTTCCCTTTGAGTACAAGTCAATAGCGAGTCCTGTTGGAGTTGCATAAAAATCTTCCGCTGTGTACTCTCAGCACATTTCGTCCCTTCCAGTAGTCATCAATTCCTCTTTTCGGATCCTGCTCCCACCCTTCACTCGCTCTTACCTTCCGGTTTCTGTGTCTTTATGAGCTGGGTGTTCCCAATACAATTACTCAACATGCTGTCTTCTGCGAGTGGCTTCTTCCACACAGTGTTTTCAAGGCTAACTATAGCATGCACCAAAATGTCATTCTTTTAAGGCTGAAAAATTCCATTAGATGGACATACGTATACTTTATTACTGACTAACATTTGGGTTATTCTTTGTCTAGTCTGAGTAACTGTACCACCAACGTTAATCGGTAATGTGAACAAATTTTCGATCCTACTGGGTTTATCCTTGGAAGAAATAATGGCAGGGGCATGTGCTAACTCTATTTAAACTTTCTGAGGAACTGCCCAACTCTTTTTCCCAACATGCTTTTGCATTGTTACATTCCACTGGCAACATAGTAAGGGTTTCAATTACTCCACATGCAGGTCAACACGTGTTAATGTCCTTAAACTGATGGGTTTGGGGGCAGTTTTTGTAAACCCAGAGTGAAGGAAGTAACGTGTGCTTCAAGGACCAGCTCAGATACCCCGCAAGTTCACCCTCCAGTCAGCCACGGGGTACAGAAGGTGAGACAATGCCAACACTACCTATTTCTGTTGTCTGTTGTACCTCCACCTCAAGGAGGCAATTTATCTCAGAGGGTGGTCCCCAGAGGAGGAGGAAGAGGAGGAGGAAGAAGAGGGGGGAGGGAGAAGGAAGAGGAGAGGAAGGAAGAGGAGGAAGGGAAGGAGAAGAGGGAGAGAAGGAGGAAGAGGAGGCAGAGGAAGAGGAGGAGGGGGACGAGAGGGAGGAGGAAGAACAGCAGCAGCACAGGAAACCAGTTACAAATTCTTGAACTTCATTCTAGATCCGTGAAGCTAGAGACTCTGAGGTGGGCCCCAATCTGTGATTCAAGAAGACAAGAGGCATCTTATGAGTGACCATTAACACATGTCAAATTTCTCATATCTTCCAAATAAGGATGCCAGCACCACAGGAGACCTTTTTGTTTTTTTGTTTTTTATTGGGGAGTTGGGGGTAGACAGGGTCACAGTATATAGCCCAGGATAACCCTGAACTCCTGTCTCCCAGGTACTGGAATAACAGGTGGGCACCATCAGTCCTGGCTCCACAATGTTTTAAAGTGTTCAGTCATGCAAGGCCTGAGCAGGCTTAGAACTTTCTAGTACAAAGGGACACTGGATAGAAATATTCACACAGAAACTCCAGGTCAGCAGGAATTTTTTTTTTTTTTTGGTTTTTCAAGACAGGGTTTCTCTGTGTAGCCCTGGCTGTCCTGGAACTCACTCGGTAGACCAGGCTGGCCTTGAACTCAGAAATCCGCCTGCCTGGCTCTGCCTCCCGAGTGCTGGGATTAAAGGCATGCGCCACCACCACCCGGCTTTTTTTTTTTTTTTTTTCAGCAGGAATTTCAAAGCACCATCCAAGGCAGGTAAGAAAGTTCCTTCAACTTGCTGTTACAAACATTTCTAGACATTCACAATCTCAAGAGCATGCTATCTCACGGTGCACTGGTTTTGTTTTTTTAAACACACACACACACAGATGTTTTTGTTTTAATCCTAGGTGTGGGATGCTTCAGGTTATTCACAGCAGCTGATTATGATTTGTCTCATGCTCTACATGGGTGTAGTTTTGCCAGCTGCAGATAATTTCTGTGATTGTGTGGTTTGGCATTCTGGGGACTTTTCATAAGTATATAAATGCTAGGGCTCCCGAGAGATGGAGTGGGTTGTTTGTTGTTTGTCTCTGTTTGTGAAGCAGGCATGCGCAAAGAAGAAACAAGAAGAAATTAGATATCCTGACAGCAAGGATCACTGCTCCAAGAAACTTGACGGCCCCTAATCAGTAGGAAGTAGTCTTAACAATAACGTCGCCCACTTTCCTTTCTCTCTTTTCTCTCCTATCAAGTATTAGGGGGTGGAAAGGGAAGAAAGTAGAACCCACAGAGCAGCTAAAGACCGTCACACTTGGCTCAGTGACAGGAGTCACCATAAACGCTTCATAGAAAATCATCCCCAACACTGACAATGACCTCATTGACAAGAAAGGGGGCACACTTTTGGCATCCAGGATTTTCTTCGTTTGAGCATGAGTATGTATGTACATGCTATGGGTCAGACCCAAGGCTTTGTACAGAACCAGGCAAGTGCCCTGACACTGAGTTAAAAACATCCCCAGCTTCAAACAGGACTCTTTGAATTAGGATAAATTGTCTGAGGAAATAGTGGGTTGGTTTTTTTGTTTTGTTTTTTTCCCACAAACGGTCACTGAAAGACGTCTGTTTCTTACTAGTCTGTAAAAACGGTTACCAGGGCAGGCAACATGTCTTCAAGGTTACCATTTGCTCACACCCCTTAACTCTGTGCCGACCCACAAATCCCTTGCGTCTACACCAGAAAGCACAGTAAAGCAAGGCGTTCTCGTCCGGCAGCTTCTATCCAGGTTGCCAGGAGAGCAGAACACTCAAATGGGTAGGCAGATGTAGAGAAGGGGCTACGTGGCTGAAGAGCCAGAGTCAACATCCATCCACCCACCCAAAGCTCCTCCATCACCAAGAACAGCTGGGATGCCACTCAGCCGTAAAGCACATCACTCAACAGCTCATTTTTACAGCAGCCGTAAAGCACATCACTCACGGCTCATTTTTACAGCATTTCTTTTGTCTGCGACATCACCGTGTCTCGGAGTAAATGGAAAACCTTCTGGTAAGCGTCTAGAACATTCTGAGCAGTGGGTCTCTCTGCAGGGATCTGGCTCTTACACGCCTTATGGATATCAAACAAATGGAATCTAACCATATCACTCCCTTCCACGTGCCCCAAAAGGAAACTGGAGACATCCGGAATCTTCCAGATGTCAATCTTCTCATCGTAGGAGGGCATGAGATCATCTTGGAAGGCTGTGTCTTCTCCATAGGGCCACAGCTGCTCCGGAGCCACGAATTCCCCGTGGAGCTCCCTGTGGCCACACTTTACAAGTACCCTAGAGTCGTGGTCCACCAGGGGCAGCGCGTCCAGGTCATTTGCCACAATGCTGAAGTTACTCGTTAGCAGATACTGGGATAATGTTTTGGGCAGGTCGTTAGAGTCACACATGACCCTCGTGCCCACGGGGCTGTGGTGCAGGTAGTTAATGATGCTGATGTACTCCATGGCCAGCTGCAGCCTATGCTGCCAAGTGTTCACGTCTTGGTACTTTGAAAGGTTTAGTGTTTCTTCCAGGTTGCTCAAGGAACCTAAGGGGTGATACTCGGTGAGAATAGTCCCGTCTTCCTCACAGTAGCCCACCAGCGTGACCACGTGCTCACTCTGTAGAGACTTCAGCATTTGCAGTCCATGCAAGAAGTCATCCTTCATCTCCAGCCTGGCGAGCCGGGAGAGAGCCACTTTGTGTTCCTTCCATTCTGACAGAAAGACCTGAAACAGGGCCACAGAGAACATCATTCCTGGACTCTCTTCAAGGCAAGCTGAGAAACAAACACTTCCTAGGAGGCAGGCGTGGTGCCGAGGATATGGGAATGACCCAGACCAGGCCGGTCCTTGCCATCCCAGAGCTATAGACAAACACAGCACCAGGCAAGGTGAACAGCTAACAGATGGGAGAGGAAGGGAAAGCTGAGTCAAGGGGGGGGGGGGATATCAGACTCTTCTAAAGGCTGGAAGAACCCGAGAGCTGTCGTGTACCATGGTGTAAAGGAGCACAGCCTGCTCTGGGGTGACAGGAGAAGAGGACTCAGGACAATCCCCAGGTGTATGGCTGGAGAGTGACGTCATACACTAAGAGGGAGAAGCAGGCCTCACAGAGGAGATTACCAAGAGTTCCAAACCGAGTCAGCTGTAGTGACACATACTTGTAATCCCCAAACTCAAGAAGCAGAGGCAGGAGGATGATGAATTGGAACAGTCTGGGTTATATAGTGAAACTCGACTTCGAAAGGACAACAAAAAGGGTTCCACACAGGACACACGGACATGTTCAGAGAACTCCAAATAGAGACGTCAAACAGTTGACTGTGTGGATCTTGGACTCAGGGACAGAGGCTAGAGGGAGTTTGCTGAATAAATAAAAGCAATGGAGGCAGGTGATGGTGGTGGCCGCACACACTTTTAATCCCAACAGTCGGGAGGGAGAAGCAGGTGGATCTTTGAATCCAAGGCCAGCCTGGTCTCCAGAGCAAGTTTCAGGACAGCCAGGGGTACACAGAGAAACCCTGTCCTGAAAAAAACCCAAAAAAACAAATAAACAGACTCAGTAAAATTCAACTAGGTCTAGATGCTAGATTATATCTGGAGACACAGAAAGATGCTTCCTCAACCTCAGCATGGCTGTGTTCAGTCCAGACAGCTATGTATTGAGGGACAGGCTTGTCCTGTGTGGTACAGGGTGTCTGGTAACACCCGCAGCCTCCACCCGCAAAATGCCAGTAACAGCTCCTCCATCCAGAAGTGACAACCACAAGTGTCTGCACACATTGCTAGCTCCCTCCAAACTGCTGCTGGTTGAGAAGCAGTTGTCTATGGTTGGGACGAGGGAAGAGAAGACAGTAAAGGACTGCCAACAGGGGTGAGGGCTGAAGATGAAGAGCCAGTGGACACTCCCAGAAAACCAGAGTCCAGGGGCAAGAAGCAACTGAGTCCAAGCTTGCTGCAAGGACTATGGAAGAGGAAGGCAGTCTTCAACTCGCACTTAGCTGGTGACATCAATAGAAGCAGCTTCCTGACTTCTAGCAGAAATCGGCTATCATCTTTGCAGCCATCTCAGGCCATATACCCTGACAAGAGACTTGTTTTTCTCATGTATCTTGTTTTGCTGTTTAGCGCCCCCAGCTGCAAGGCGCATGTGGTATCCACGCTGCAAGGCACGTGGCAAAGCGCCTTCAGCTGTGTTCCCCTGCTTGTCCATGAGGGCAAGGCACGTGGAAAAGCATATAAATACCCAGGATTTCCTTTCAATAAAGGAGAGACTTGATCAGACCCTCTGTCTTGTCGCCATTCTTCGTGTCTCTCGCCCCTCCATCCCCACTCTCTCTCTTGCTAGACCCTGACTCTCAGACTGGAGCAGCAGCTCAGGCCGGCATGTAGTAGCCCCCAAATGTGGGGCAGAACGGGCTGTTACAGTGGAGGGGGTTAGCAGAGTTTTCCAGGGACAGAGACAGAGAGTGGCAGCTTTGGTGGACTGGACAGTCAAGACAATGGATTTCTATGATGTGTGCTTCTTTGTGCCCCGACAGGAATGAAGGGTGAGGTGAGAGCCACTCTATAAGCCAAGATGTGGGAGTTGTCAGGACGATGTGTGCAGGGAGGTGTACAGACCGACCGCGCAGGGAGAGGATGAAGATGCTTTCTGCAGAGCCTGCTGTCCTCTTAACTCATAACCTATGACCATTAGCTAAGGGAAAACGGGAGTGCCTGAAAAGGTGTCTGTCTTGGAGCAGGAGTACATCACTGAGGCCTGTTGTACTGCACCGAAGGAGCCCTCAATTCTACAGACGCTGTCTACCCTGCTTGCGTTTTCTCCCAGAAGTGGGTAACTTTGCAACGGAAGACAGTGTACTCTACCACCAGGTACATTTTCTTTCTTTCTTTCTTTCTTTCTTTCTTTCTTTCTTTCTTTCTTTCTTTCTTTCTTTCTTTCTTTCTTTTTTAAGCTTACTACCCTAGGACTTTCTTCCTGAAATCATAGGGAGTTGGTCTACACCTAATGACCACACAAAAAGACCCGTGCTTCTGAAAATATGTATTTTTAGACAAGATCTCATATAGGCCAGGCTAGCCTTAAACTCCCTACATAGCCACAAATGGCTTTGAAGCAAGCGATCTTCTAACTGAACTACATTCCCGGCCCCTCTCCTAAAAGTACCATTTCTAGTCTCTCATATGATAGTGCACTTTTACACACCTGCCACCCTTCCTCCAGAGTTCCAGATCTGAGCACTGGGCTCGACAACAGACACACAGGGCCTTTCCCTCTCTTTCCTGTATGCTTTGAAGCCAGTGTTTCTCTGCTGCCCAGGTTGGCCTCAGAGTCCTGACACCAGCCATCTTGCCTGACACGCCCAGGTACAGCAACAGGTGGCACATGGCTCTTCCAGCACACAGCAATACTCACTCTCTTGACGGCTCCCTCCCCGACGCGCCTCAGCTGCCTGACTTCAGTCCTCAGCTCCTCACAGGACAACCAGCGCGAGCAGTTTCTCATCCGTCCCATTCTGAAGTAACCTGGAGGACAGTGCCCAGAGTCCTCGGAGGATCGTCCAGGGGAGATGAAAAGGTGATCGAGGCACAGGTAGAGGAGCACGTTCATAAGGGCCATGGCGAGCAGCAGCCCCACGCCCCGGGGGACTTCTCTGTGGGTGAGACCATTCCTGGTTCCATGTTGCTGTCCCATGTCAGTCCCTACAACAGAACGGGAGAACGAGTAGCAAGCACCATTGTCTACTTTGATTTCCATGGGGGTGCTCTGATGCCCCGGCAGGCTGGACGTGGCCACGCCCACTCATGGGGGCGTTCTGATGCCCCTGGCGGGCTGGACGTGGCCACACCCACTCACTGGGCTCTGTTAGCTTCAGTGTCACGTGCAAGCTCATGTGATGAACTGCAAACGTGAGTGACTCTAATAAACGTTATTCTTCATTACAAGCTAAAATATAAGTTCATCCAGACCAGATCTGGTCTTTCTCTGGCACACTAAGTTGATGGCCTGAACGTTTAATAAAACGTAAGCAAAATATGTATTTGTGGGACCGAGATAGAAGATAGACAAGGGTATAGTACAGTTAAGCAGACGAGGGCCTCCTGAAGCTAGCTGAGAAGTTAGGGTGCTCCCTGGAATTTACCCAAAAGCCCCTGAACAAGCTGATTATACAGCTTAGGGAGCTTCCAGTATGTGCAAGACACTGGTCTCGAACCCCAGCCCAGCAACAAGAAGATATTGAGGTTCTCTTTTTCTTGTGGCTCAGGGGATCAAACGCAGGGCCTCACTTATGCTAGCTGAGCACCCCAGCCCTGAGAGACAGAAGCAAGGGTAGCCCTTCTGCAGGTGCTCATGGTGGCTTTGGGGTGGGAAAGATCTCTATCTGCAGAGGCTAACAGTTCACAAACTTGTGGGTGACAATAACCGTGACAAGGTTTTCTGGAGACGATTCAGGAGACACTGGAAGTAGGGACCTAAAGAATCCAGAGCAGGGCTACTCGGGCCATGATGAAGGAGCCATGATGGAAGGGCCTGGATGGGGTTAGGCCTGGGATGGACCTGCAAGCAAAGGATGCTTGTCCCTGGAGGTGCTGGACAGAGAGGCTCCAAGCTGACTTTCAGGCTGGGGAGCCTGGGACCCGGCATCAATAGTGACAAAAAAGGTTACCTTCAACCGTTTCTTTTTTCTCCCAGCAGGGTCTCCATCCACATGCCTGCGTCCCTCAGAGACCTGCTTGGGTCCACCTGGCAGGTCACAACCTCTAGAACTCCAGTCTCGGGAGATCTGATGGTGTCTTCTGGCCTCTGGAGATACTGCATTCACATAGCACACTGACCCACATGCAAGCAAAATACCCATAGATGAAAAATTAGGAAGGAGGGGAGTTGGGTGGTAGTTAATGGTGGCACACACTTTAAACCTCAGCACTTGGGAGGCAGAGGCTGGTAGATCTCTGAGTTTGAGGCCAGCCTGGTCTACAGAGTGAATTCCAAGACAGCCAGAGCTACACAGAGAAGCGATGTCTTAAAAAAGACTATCTCCCAAACTCAACTTCAAGACTTCTCTCCCAAATCTACTCCTTTACACAATTCACATCCGTAAATAAGGAATCTCTCCTCCTTTCTAAGCCCGAGAGGACACAGGTGGTGTCAGCACAGCAGCATGAGGAAACGCTAGAACTGACAGTTCCCTGGCTTTCGCTTAGACCACAGAATAAAAAGCTGGTCCTCATTCCCGCTGTCTTCAGGGCGCGCTCAGGAGACCCTGACTGCGATCATTTTGGTTTCAGTCAGAGAGGCCACCTGGAGGCCATCTTGGCAGTTCACCCCAGAGGCTTGGGTCTACCCAGCTAGCTCTAGCAGGTTACTCAGGCCATTTCCTCATCTTTCCACAGGGACCCGACTCATCTTGATCTCCAGGCCTCTCCCTCAGGGCACCTTCAGAGAACTAATAAGAGAGAACTCTGTGCACTCATGTACTTGCCATTTCTCTTTCAGAATATATGTTTTAAATATAGTTACATATTTATTTATAAGTGTATTTATACCTATATTTAAATATACTTCATATATTTAAAATTTTATGTTGATGATGATGATGAAGAAGATGATGAAGATGAAGAAGATGAGTATGATGTATATGGTGTGTAGGTACGGGTGAGCATATGCCACAATGTGTGTGTAGAGGTCAGAGGAGTGCTTTGTGGAGCGGATTCTCTCTCCCATCTTTAAGTGGGTTCTGAAGATGTGACAGACTCACACAACAGGCACCTTTATCCACTGAGCCGTTGCTCCAGCTCACCCTCATACTCCTCAGAGGGACCAGGTGTGTCTCAACTTAGACCTTAGGTCAAGGGGTTGTCACATTTTCTCTACAAAGTGTCGAATGTTAAGTAGGCTTAGGAGTCAATGTCAAGACCAAGTGACAACCACATCGCTGCTGTGAGGTGCAGAAAGGGGACAGGATGCCATGGACCACCTGACTGCCACTCAGCTCCGTGGCCAGGGTGTCAGAGCAGCCGCTGCAGAGAACAAAACCAAGCCTTCACGGCTGTATTCTAACACCATGTACTCACGGACACAAGATTCTGAACTTCGTACGGTTTTTATGCAATCGCAATGTGTCTCTTACCCATCATTTACTAAAAGTGGCTGGGCTACAGCTCACTGGTGAATGCTGGCTTAGCTCAGGGCTATAAAAAATGGGCGGTAGATTGTAGCTGGCCAAACCTGGCATCAGATGGTAGGATTCCTTCAAGGGTGTTGCAGACCAAAGCCATCTCACCTCAGGCCAGGTCTCTGGGAGCTGTGTAAATGCTCACAATCCCTAAATCTACACTGCAGCCCAGATCTTTCTCCCAACACTCAGTGGGTTCCATGTCTGGGATGCCCCCTCCCCACCCCCAGCGCACCCCTTCTCTGGGGCCCTCCCCACCCCCAGCGCACCCCTTCTCTGGGGCCCTCCCCCCTCTCCAGCACATCCCTTCTCTGGGGCCCTCCCCCCTCTCCAGCACACCCCTTCTCTGGGGCCCTCCCCCGTCTCCAGCACACCCCTTCTCTGGGGCTCTCACTCTATCATGCGGACAGAACCTACCCGTCATTCACAGCACAAATCAGAGTGACTCCATTCTTCCTCCTTTGAGCTCAGAATCAGCTAAGCCTTACATATGGTGTCACCTGACTCTAACCTGCTCACAGCGCCCTTCCCTCCCCCGACCCTGACACGTGCCACCAGCATGTCTTACCTGGCCTTCTATAGCTGATTCCTGCATGGTCTTTCTGTGTTCCAATCCATTCCCCACGCAGCAGACAGGGTCTTCCTTTAACAAAACGCCTCAGGAGGAAAATATAAATAAAATTATGACCATCTTTTCAGTTTTTGTTAATCTACACCTGTCCTGACTGTGTGTGTGTTTGTCTGTATTTGAAGGGGGTACACTGGGGATCCAACCCAGAATCTTGCACAGCATGTGAACTTGACCTCTGAGAGATAACTGGAATGTTACATCCCTGAAGCACCTCTGGTGCCCTCCTCATCCCCAGCTGTCAGCCTCATGGTGGTTCTTTGGTATTCTCCAGTTGTGGATCTGGGAACTTGTAAGGAAGAACAGTCTGCTTTGAAAGTTCTCAATGCAATCCGCATGAACGCTAAAATGAGGCCCTCTAGTGGACACTGCTGAACTCGAGTTTCCCTGTGGTCACAAGTCTGTGGCCATTTCCTCAGGCGCGGTGTTACTTTCTGGTATACTGGAATTCTGCTGGGGGAGAACAGTCCAAGAATGGAGTTGTGCGAGGGGAATTCTGGGAGCTTGTGAGAAAACTCAAGAAAACAAGACAAGAGTCTTGTGACCTCTTGTTTCTTAGAAACACGGAATCGGTCTTGGAACGTGTTCTCATGCTCCCCACAGATGTAGAGGACAGGAGTGGATTTACTCCAGCTTGTTATTCATGCACCGTTGTGGAGCAACGTTTTCTGCCACATGCAGCCTGCCCTTGTGGTTGGACACTTGACCCAGCTGACTCTTAACCCTCAGGGTATAAACTGTCTGATGCTCTGAATAAAGTTGGCTAAGTGAGAATTTCGTCTGTCTTATTTTTTAGGCCCTGCTCTCACAGGTTCACACCACCAACCAGAGCAGTAAACAGTCTACAACTCATTTTTTTAAAAACAGTATTGTTGTTATAATTGCTTAAATTTTATTTATTTGAATACGGGAAGATGACACCTCTAAGGCACACATGTGGAGGTCAGAAAACAACTTGTAGGAATCAGTTCTCTCCTGTGTGGGGCCTGAGGGTCAAACTCAGGTTATTGGGTTTGGCAGCAAGCCCCTATCCCCACTGAGCCATGTTGCCAGCCCACCCACCACAATATATTTTAGAGATGCATCTATTGTACTTCCTTAGTTGCAACTGACTCTAGGACCATTAGTGAAATAATCCCCCTGCCCCAGTCTCATTGTATAGACAGACCAACCATACAATCATCTTGTATCCCACGTCTCCCACGTGCTGGGATTATAAGCATTCACAACCATCCTGGTGTGAAACATAATTTGTACATATTTCTTTATATGTATGTGTCAGAGCCACAGTCTCGGACACAGAGGCTGATCCTTCCAAACCACAGATTTAATCCCATCCTCAAACTTTCCTTCCCCAGGGAATGCAAGCATTCAGTAGTCCCACTGTGCCCTGAGGAACAAGTCTAACTCACCAATGAGTCCTGAGTGGGTAGAGATGTGGATAGTTGTATAGTCTATGCTTGGCACATGCCAAGATGCAGTGCCCTGGAGAACACCAAGGGGGAAGTAAACTCCTGGGATCCAGTCTTGGTTCACCTCCTCTACACACACACACACACACACACACACACACACACGCACACATGTGCACACACATACCTGCGCACACATGCGTGCGCGGACATGCATGCACACACACTCGCACACGTGCACGCACACATGCACACACATGCACACACACGCACACACACATGCACACACATGCACACACACGCACACACGCACACACACATGCACACAATGCACACACATGCGCGCGCGCGCACACACACATACATTCGTGCCTGCTATGTGCCACACTCCAGTCTCTAACACTCCTAGGTGCTCAGAGAAACCCATTAGGGGATGTGTAGGTCCTCTCCCCTCTAGGTTACCTGCTCCCTGATGTTGTCTCCTGTTCTGTTTGGTTTGCCACTGTCTGCGGTGCCTTGTACAGCAGAGACTTGAGACCAATGCACCGACTGGCTGGTCACGCCACACTTTTCTGTGTTTATGGTCTCTGGCATGCACACCCCTGTCTTCCTTGGGCTTACTCATGCCCACGGCGACTCTTCTTCAGTTCTTTGTGGGACCTGCCCTGTAACACCTCTCATCCAGCCATTTCTTCCCGTAACTGGCATCACCACACCAACACCATAATTACATCTTCCCAGTGTCAACTCTCTTTCGCCCCAACCTCTCCCTCATCTTCCCTTGCCACTGGATGAATGCAAGCTACATGAAGTCCCAGAGTTCATACAGTTTTAGGAAGGAAAGGATGCCCCCTCCCCCCCAAGAAAACGCAAGGCAGACTGGAGAGACGGCTCAGTGGGTAGGGTGAGGACCTCAGAACCCAAGAGAAGCGGATGTACCTGTAATCCCACCGGCGGTAGAGACAGAATAGCCAAGAAGCTGCTGGGCCAGCTAGCCGGACACATGGTGGGACACTACAAAGTGACCCCGTCCCAAACAAGGCAAGAGGCCAAGAACAACACCCATGTTGTACTCTGACCTCCACATGTACACATGTGAAACACGCACATGGTGCACACACACTTTTGAATGTAAAATGTCAGCCCCTTTTCAGGGTTTTGCAAGGGATTTGTGGCAGCGCAGAGAAGCTGTCATTATAAATCCACACCCACTACTCACTCTGAGGCCCCATATATGCACCTTCAGTCCTCTATGGTCTGGGTGAGTATCCTCCAAAGGCCCATTCATTAAAGACTTGGTCTCTAGCTGCTGGCACTACTGGACGGCAGCAGAACCTTGAGGAGGCAGAGTCAGTTACAAGGAAGCCTCCATCAGTAACAGCGTGACCCAGAAGGAGATACTGGGAACCTCAGCCTGTGTCTCCGTGCTTCCAGGATGCCAGGAAGTAACTTTCCCCTTCCACCACTCTCTCCTGCCATGACATGCATAATGACCACAGGTCATAAGCAAAGAATCCCATGCATGATTGAGCCCAGGTAAACCCTTCCCCTTTGCTAGCTGATTATAGCACGAGATGCCAACACACTCAAATGCTACCAGCATCACGGACAAAACGCTGCAGGAACTCATTTTTAAATTTACTTATTTTCTACGCATGAGTGTCTGCTTGCATGCACACTGTACAATATGTGCTGGGTGTGCCTGGTGCCAAGGGAGGGAGGTCAGAATAACGTGCTGGATTCCCTGGAACTGAAATTACGGACAGTGGTGAGCCATTAGGGAATTGAACCCAGGTCCTCTGCAACAAGTGCTCTTAGCCACTCGCCATCTCTCCAGCCTTAAAATCCGTATTAGCAGATCTATGCTGAAGCCTCAGTACTTGGCACTCGATTAACACACCTGTTTCTTGTGGACTGCCCAGAGCTTAATGGAGTATATATGGCCGGCTGAGTAGGAACTTCCGGCACTGTTTAAACACCAAGGCTATTCGATAACGGTGAAAAGGGACCAGTTGCTGTATGGTCACGGCTTGGGTTAGACAAGGAAAATAAGGCAGCTAAATAACCTGCCAATTTGCAGAATATTTTACACAATTCAAGAAGGCGCCGGTGTCACCAATACAATTCAGATTAAATCTCACTTCCCGATAACTATTTAAATAGTCCGGATGTTATTTAGTTTGGACAGGCGAAAGGATGGGGGGGCATCAAGTCTAAATTTTGGTTTCTAACAAAGACGGGTTGGGGGGAGAGAAGTGGGAGGGAGGGGGAGAGAAAGCGAGAGCATGGCGGACAGTCTCCGCTCACACAGTTCAGCAGCAGCGCCCGGTGCATGGTAAGTCCCGAGAGGAGAGGGGTGCACAGTATGCACCCGGAGAAGGGCTGCTCGGTGAGCACCCGAGGGGAGTTGCATGGTGAACACTGGAGGAGGGGTGAACAGTAAGCACCCGAGGGGTCGCTGTCAACATCAGTTCCAAGCCTAGTTCTCATGAACCCTATGAGAGTCTACTCTGGGGTTGGGCCGGGTGGTGTCTTGGGGGTCAGGCTCGCAAAGGTGCCGCAGAACCCTGTCCCACTTCACTACGCCCCGGAGCCTACCTGGCGACCACCAAATCCGGCTCGCATCCCAGGACGCCTGCGCGGCCGGAAGCGGTCGGAGGCGAGCGTGAGGCTGCCCCCTGGTGGCCGCCTCCTGCCTCACACTGGACACCCGCGGCAGCGTAGGCACCCTCACCCCAGACCCTGGTTCTGGTTTCCTCTAGCCAAACTGGTGCATGCCAGGAAGCAGCAGCAGGGGTGAGCCTGGGGCTGGGGACCTCGGAAGGTTGCTTCATTATCTACAGCTCGACACTCTCTGCAAAGCGGTGGCTGCCCAAGAGTGATCCTCAGAAAAGCAGCACGAGCAAATCGCAGACGGGGCCTCAGTGGACTTACTGATGATGCCTCTGGATTTGAAAACTATATGTAAGGGTGACTTTGGAGCTTCGACCTGAGATGCAAAGTTTCACCTCACAGATTTAGGGTCCAAACCTCAAGTGATGTGAAGGGTGGAAGGTCCCAACGTGTCACACTAGTATTAGTACTTGTAAGTGGGCTAAGGTTGGGAAATGGAAAATCAGACGTAACCCCACCTAATTTGTTGTTTAAGCCTATGTTTATCATCTAAACAATGAGTGTTAACTCTAAGCATGCTAAAGGACCTGGGAACTTGATCTAGAAAGCATCAGAAGAGTGGGGGCCAAAACAACAAAACTCCCCCAAAAGAATTCCTATAAGCAATCTTTCCTTCTCAGACTGACAAATGCGTATGTGCGTGCGTGTGTGCGTGTGTGCGTGTGTGCGTGTGTGCGTGTGTGGGGTGCCAGAGAACTCAACGGTCAGGAGTGATAGATAGACTTGCTGGTAATTGTGACCCCCCACCCCCCGATATCGATGCTATGAACTAAACTCAGGTACTGTGGAGCCATCTCTCCAGCACCAGGGATATTTATAGTAGAAAATATACCTGGATGTATAGCAGCCAGAATTTCAGAAATAAATTATACGCATTATATGTGAAAGCCGTTAAGAACACTGTTTAATGGATAGTTTCATTTTGAGAAGCTTTAAAGCTACTGGTGATGATGGATGTAATGGTTGTAAAATAATGTGAATATATTGGATGCCGCTGAAATACACACTTAAAAATGACTAAAATCTGGAGAGCCGGCTCAGTGGGTAAGAGAGGACCTGGGTTCCAATCACCCACTTGGCAGCTAACAGCCACATGTAACTCAGTTCCAGAGGGTTAGACCTCCTCTCCTTCTGCCCTCTGAGGTCACTGTACACACCAGTGCTCAGACAAAATAAGCTCACAAAACACCCATACACATAAGATAAATTCCAAAACAACCTTTTACAAAGTGACTAAAATCAGGAAGTGTGTTATAGTTTACTATAGTAAGAAATGATGCTGTAGGGACGCCTGAGAGATGGCCGGCAGGTGAGGATGCTCGCCACCAAGTCTGATGATTTAAGATCAATCCCTAGGACCCACATGGGGAGGTGAGCAAGGATTCTCACCATGTTGTTCTTTTGATCTCCAAAGGCATGGACACCCCCCACCCCCAGACTGTGACAGTAACTTACGCCGTAATGGTACGTACGGACATGAGGAGATATTCATAACATGTGGATGTCGTGCTTTTACTGATAAACATCCCCCATCGGCTCACATGCTTCAGCGGTCCTCTGTGTGGGAGGATGTTTTGGAGTGGAAGTGGAGCCCTGTTAGAGGATGTGACTCTTTAACAGGCCTCACTTCCCGTTCACCCTCTGCTTCCTGAGTATGGGTGTATGCCAGACTCCTATCCGGGAAGCCATTGTATCCCTGCCTGCTGCTGAATTTCCCTTGAAATGATAGCTTGTATGCCATTGGAATAGTGAACCAAAATAATAAATATTTCCCCCTCTTATGTTGCTTTTGTCAGAGTACTATTTCATTACAATACTAAGACAATGGCTAAGGATGGGAAACAATCCCATGCTTTAAAAACATTTCTAACGCTGTGGTCTTGGGGCCCGACTCCAGGAGTTCATGCTGTTCTCACACAGTGGAAGCCAATAAAACAGTGATTTCAACAAAACATGGGGAGGGGACTTCCCAGAAAGATGGGCGCTGACACTCAAAACTTCTGTAAAGCACGGCTTCAAAATCCAAGCAGAATTAATGGCAGAGTTATTTGTGGTGTATCAAGGAAGACCAGCATTTGGAGCAGCATGGATCTGGTCGGGGATGGATGTCTGCTGTTTTACCCTGACCTGAATTCAATATGGTTCAAAACCTAGAAATCCCCTGCTTAGTCCTGAAGCAGCAGAGAAGACTCCTCAGTCAGGAATGGAGGAAATCCTTATCTTTGTGTTGTTCTGTGTCCTTTCCCACTTCAGTCTTTTCTTTATCCGTCCCTAGTCACCTGCACCACAGTAGTAAATATGACTGTTGGACAGAACACAGCAGAGCCTTCCTTTCTACCCAGTGGGAATAGACTGTGAAGAAGCCCAATCCAGCCCCTCTAGCACCCCTCCCCAGGCCCACCCGTCTCCATTGCCGTAGCACAATTGTGGACATAGGCAGATTCGTGTTTGCTTTTAAATTACATTTTTTCCTTATTCTTAGGGAACTAAGATCAGATCCTCTCCCATTTCCCTTCTCCACCCTCTTCCCAACATGTCCCCTTCCCAGCTCCATGTCTCCCCCTTCCCCAAACACACTCTGCCAATAGGGCTGCCCCTATATGCGTGGGTATGGGTCCAGCCATCTGAGCACAGGAAACCTACCAATGGCTTCCCCCTCAGAAAGGATTCTCCCTCCAAAACAGTGATCAACTGGCAATCTTTCCTCAGAAAGGGGAGGGAGAAAGCATTTCCCCAGACTACGCTGGAGTTTCAGCTGGCCCCATGTTGTGCAGGTAATCAGTCGCTGAGTTTCTGAGTGCAGTAGCCCGTAGCAGGTCCACATCCGTCCACATCCGGCACCCCACAGCACTCGCTCCTCCCATCAGTCCTCTGGCTCTCATCCATCCTGCTTCCTCTACCTCAGGCAGGGTGCTTATGTGTACCACAGACCGTAGGGCTGAGGACTCTATCCCTTCTTCTCGGCACTGTGCATGTCTACAGACTGCTGGGCACTTTCTTGATGGTCAAACTAGAATCTGGGTCTCTGGCCAGAGGGTTGACACGGGTTCTCCATGAAACCCAAATGTTCGGTGTGCAGGGTGTGGTGGTACTTGCCTTTGATCTCAGCACTCGGAGGCTGGCTGACTTGATCGTCACACATAATAATAATGAATGACGTACACATCAAACTCTTGAAACAAACGTTAAAATACAAATTACCTCAAAGGGGCCGAAATGGCTCAGCTCTTGTGAGCACACACTTGTTCTCAGGGGGATCTGAGAGACAGACAGAGTGATGGCAGAGCAGAGGCTGTGAGAACAGACTAATGGACACATCTCTGAGCCAGGGTCTGGCTATCCTGTGGCTTCTGGAGCACAGGAATTACAGTACATATGCCCATGCCTGCTTGTGGTTGCCTAGGCTGCCGCTGAACTTGTGGTAAACCTCTGCCTGCAGGGATCATGGCTCTGTGCTCTATGCTGGCCCGCATGCTTTGTCCCTAACAGCTTTGCTGAGTCGGCAGCCCTAAAAACAACGTCAAGTTACTGACAGTAATTTCTGAGGATAAATGTTCTTAGACTGGATTGTTGTTGGGTTCTTTTTCTTTTCTTTTTCTTTTTGAGACAAAGTCTTCCTATGTGGCCTGGCTGCCCTGGACCCCAAAATGTAAACCAGGCTGGTCTTGAACTTAGAAGGATATGCCTGTCTCTGCCTCCTGAATTCTGGCATTAGAGGTGTGCACCACAACTAACCACTAGGTTGTTTTGTTGTTTCTACTATAATGCTGCTAAAAAAACAGACGGTATTTTAAGCTGTTTTCAAATATAGAACTAGGGATTTGGGAGAGCAGCAAGTGACAAATACTAACATACAATGTAAAAACAAAACTAAAACGTTAAAAATGACTTAAATATATTATCTCTACTAAAAGTTATTTCCCAAGTTCACGTGGAGAAGAGGCTTATTCAAGTCTTCCCAGTGACTTCCTTAGCTGTGGTCTGCTGTTCTGACACTGAGACGTCCTTTATGGATTGCTGCTGAGGCTAACACACTGGTCTGAGGCATGCAAACTCCTTTCCCTATTTTTTTTTTTTTTTTTTGGTTTTTCGAGACAGGGTTTCTCTGTGTAGTCCTGGCTGTCCTGGAACTCACTCTGTAGACCAGGCTGGCCTCGAACTCAGAAATCCGCCTGCCTCTGCCTCCCAAGTGCTGGGATTAAAGGCGTGCGCCACCACCGCCTGGCCGCAAACTCCTTTCTAACTCCAGTCTTGACTGGCAGAGGCCAGAAATCAAGGGACTACATTTCAGAGCCTCTGGCTGGGCAGCGCATCGCAGGTGCCTCTGTAGAAGGTGGTGGCCTGGAGCTGGCAGCGGAACTGTGCGTTCTAACTCCTCACACTGCAGCTCTGGTTCAGGCAGCAGCGACTTGCTGCTACTGCACAGTGTGGATGTGCGGCAGACTTCAGAAGATGAGGCAGTGACTAAGCTATCTATGTTGATTAAATCTAGTTTGAATTATCTTGAGTGCATTTTGTTGCTGGCAGGAAAAACAGGAACAATTTCCAATTTTAATAAATTCATATTTCTCCCCCATAATCAAAAATTGTATAGTAATATTTTCTTTCTTCTCAGTTTTTTACTTTATTCTGAACTGGCCTGAACTATGTAGTCCAGACTGGCCTCAAACTTGCAGCAATCCTCCTGTCTCAGCCTCCCAAGCACTGGGCTCCTTGTTTGTCTCTTATATACTGTTAAACAGCAAACACTATGGTATTGTTTATAGATAATGTGACTTTATTATAAAATCTTTCTTTTGGCATTAGTTGGTTACAGTGATAGCAAGATCCCGTGAGCGTGGCCCAGCAGCTCTAATCAACAGGTGTAGCACACCGAGACTCAGGTCACTGCAATCACTAACAGTTCCCTGTAGGCACTGCCAGCACACAGCCTTCCACACACCTTTCAGGAGGAGCCGACTCTACAGGACTGGATTAAATGTTGGG